TTCCGGTCTCCGCCTCTCCTCAGGAGCATGCGCATGAGGGAGGACCGGCCGTAGCCTGCGTCGGACGCCCGGCGCCCGCTCCTACTGCTAGAATCTGCCCGCGGAAGCGGAACTTGATCCGTCTGGGGAAGCTTGTTGATCCGATCTCGGCCGCGTGCGAGGCGCTGCGGTGGCTGTTGACTTGGGAGGGCTGGTCTCTTCCCTCAAAGGGTGTCCCTACCACCCGTCACTTTGAATAAGTCTCACAAAAGCGTTTTCTCATTTGTCTATGTTCTTTTTTTTTTTTTTTTTTTTTTGAATCAGGGTCTCACTGTCGCCCGGGCTGGAGGGCAGTGGCACGCTCACGGCTTACAACAGCCTCCAACTTCTGGGCTCAGGCGATCCTTCAACCTCAACCTCTCGAGTAGTTGGGACTAAAGGTGCGTGCCACCACACCTGGTTAATTTTTTGTATTTTCTGTAGAGATGAGGTCTCGCCATATTGCCCAGTCTGGTCTCGAACTCCTGGGCTCAAGCAACCCTCTTGCCTCGGCCTCCCAAAGTGCTGGGATTATAGGTGTGAGTCTCCGCACTCAACCTGTTTATGTTCATTTTTTTTTTTTTCGAGGTGGAGTCTCACTGTCGTCTAGACTGGAGTGCAGTGGCCGCTCCCGGCCACCGCAGCCTCGACCTGCTGGGCTCTGGTGATCCTTCCGCCTCACCCTTCCAAATAGCTGGAAATACAGGCGCGCGTTACTACGCCCGGCTAGTTTTTTTATTTATTGTAGAGATGAGGGCTCGCCAAGTTGCCCAGGCGGGTCTCGAACCTGTGGGCTCAGGCAATTCACTCACCTCACCTCAGCCTCCCAAAGGTGCGGGATTACAGGCTGAGCCACCGAGCCCAGCTTATGTTCATTTTTACATAGATTATCTTTTTGAAGACTTGTAGCTATTCCTGTTAATTTCAATTGCTTTATCTATTGAGTGAGATTGAGTGACTTGCCACGCTGACGAATCTGGCATGCAGAGAAACCAAAAATAATTGTCATCACAGAGCCCTTTGCATCTCTCCAGAATGCTTCAAACTTGGGATGACTTTTTTTTTTTGGAAAGCAGGATTTATTGAGAGGACAGAAAAGCTTCCAGAGTGGGAGGGGACCCGAGGGGTTTGCCTAGATGACTTTTATATGGCCACCAGTAACTACATTCACACTTTTACATGTGAATTGTCTAATCAAGGACAGAAATGATTTCTTTTATTTCGGTGAGCTCACTCTCTGGCACAATGCCTGTACATAATCAGACGCCCAGTAAATGTTTGTTGAATGAGTCAGCTACGTCAGTGGTCAAAAACACTATTTGTCGTGTCCATAACAGCCTTCTGAAAGGTCCAGAATATGGTTTCTTCCCCTGCATTATCTATGTCTTCATACTTCGTAAAGTATTAAGAATGTGTTAGCGCCTGCTGATCTCCCAAAAGCACCTGCTTCCAGAAACGACTTCCAAACAATCTACTAAACTCAATATATTCTAAAATAAGACTCAGGATTGGGCCTCCTCTTGGGAGGAAAGATAGGTGAGAGCAGTACTTAAGCTGGAGTCTTGTGGATGACTTTCAGAAGCTCATGGATCCCTTAAAATTATGGGCAATATTTTGTGTGTTATCTGTGAATTTTTTGAGAAAAGGATTCATAACTTTTCCTCAGTCTTTCAAAATAATCTGTTAGGCCAAGAAAAAAAAGTATGAGGAAGTCTGAGAGTATCTGGATACTTCTTCATATTACCCTTCAGTCATTGATCAAACAGTCAATTTCTGCAATTGAAGGGGATATATTTTGCCAACTTTCTTTAGTAACTCATAGCAGTATTCATTACACTTGTGGTATGCTCCACCACCCTCTACGTCCTACCTCTGTAGTCAGTTAAACTTAAAGAAGCCTTTCCCCATCCCAGCTGTGGACTGCCAGTCCCATTGCTTAGGCCTGAGCTCTACCTCAACCTGTTTTCAGACTTTATTTTGCATTTCTGGAGCTCTAGCCCGAGTTTTTAGTTTCAAGGGTAGGGTTTGTGGTACAGTTCCTACGTTTTAATTTTCCACAGGTCTAGGTAGTTTAATATTATAAGATTATAATTCCCCCGAGTATTTTGTCCAAATGTCTATTAATTCCATTTATTATGCCTACTTGCATCTCTCTCATCGTGTGCATGCTAGTTCTGGATTTCCTTAATTGTTCTGTTTTCACTCTCACAGTATTCAAGCCCACGCTTCAAAGGATGGGCCCTATCTATCTTCTTTTTGTTTTTTTGAGTCAGAGTCTCACTGTCACCCATGATACAATAAATCAAAAAACTAACCTGGCATGCTCACAGCCACCATAGCTTCGACCTGCTGGGCTTAGGCAATCCTTCCTCCTCAGCCTTCCAAACAGCTGGAACTACAGGCCTGCCAGGTTAATTTTTTGATTTATTGTAGAGGCAAGGTCTCCTCATGTTGCCCAGGCTGGTCTTGAACCTGTGGACTCGGGCAATCCTCTTGCCTTCGCCTCATAAAGTGCTGAGATTACAGTCGTGAGCCACTGCACCCGGCCTCATGTCTACTTAAAACCCCACTCAGCCATCCCCTACTAAGCCATCCATAGTTTTGGATTGAGTCAAAATTTCTTAGCTTTACATATACAATTAATATGATCAACCTAATTGTCCTTTGACTTATCTCTGGTTACTTCCACCAGCATTTGCCAATCCCCTAAAGATCCCGCCTTTTTCTTCATCATTTAGTTAATAACATTATTTCATACATTGTATAAAAATGATTGGGCCGCCAACTGAAGTCCCATTTTGTCTTTTTTAAGCCCCTGGATATCCCATAAAGTCACCAGTTCTAAGCTCCTCCTTCTTCGTACTGTAGCCTAATCCCTCCCTCAGTATACTCCATACTGTGAACAGGACTATCCCTTCTCATCTTTTTTAGTATGTTACTTCATAAACTATCCCTGTTTTTTCCATTGTTTCCTAGTTCTGATTCTTCTTCACCCCCTTCTATAATACAACCATACTCAAGATCCTTCCAGCTTAAAGAAGTCTATCCTACTCTCCTATACCACCAAATTATTTTTCCTTCTTCCTTTTCTATAAATATCTTGAAAGTGTGACCTACCCTCAACTGTTTCCACAGCTTTCAACCACTTCTCTGCCCTGTGTAACAATACTCCCCTCTGCAATAACAAATAGAAGACAGGTTCGGTGGCTCAGCCTGTAATCCCGCAGCTTTGAGAGGCTGGGGTGAGTGGATTGCCTGAGCCC